AATACCAATCTTGCTCACCTCATAGAATTACTGTGATGACTACATGAACTAATCCATTTAATGTGCTTAGCATAGCGCCAAACACTAGGTCAGCACTTAATAAAATGGTCACTTAAAAAAAAAGTATGTGTCTTTGCCATAGAGGGAAATGCATACATGCAAATACAGAAGGGTCCTGACTGGTTAGCAAAGAATATATTTTACTTTAAAGGGCTTGTTCTTGGAACAATGCCCTTCTGGAAACTTCTTTTAGACACCTTCCTTAACTATTCAAGCTCCTGAAGTTTGGTTTCCTAGGATCTCTCCTCATTAGGACTTCAATCTGCCTCGGGGTTTGGGGTAGATATTGCAACACAGAAATTAAGATCAGAGTATTTTCCACAGTAAAGCTCTCTTAGTTTCAGAAGGCAGGAATTCTAATTATTATGTTTAAAACCTTCTTTGTAATGTAGCTTTCACTTCCTGGAGTTTATTTTTATAGGTGCTTTTCTGTTCCTGTGAAAGTAGGAGAGACAATAATACCCAAACTGTAAAACCATTCATTCTGGAATTAACAATAAATGTGATATTTTTTCCAAAGACCTCCCCCAAAACATGAGAGATAAAATAGATTATTTTCACAGCTCACCCTTGGACACTAAGTACCACCACTTGCTCTATGTGTCACCGCCCACCCCTACCCCAGTGAGCTGGCCCTGTGACTGTGGCCTGTGCCTCCCTCAGAGAATTGCCCCAGTTCGCTTTAATTAGATATTATTTCCTAAACATCTGGTATATTTTATATGAGTTATTTGTAGAAACAACAAAAGCTGATTACTGACTATTCCTTCTTCCCTTAAGCTATTTTCTAGTGCCCTATAATGGAATACTTAGAATTAGGGACTGGTAAAATTATGTTTAGAGTGAAGAAAAAAACCTCCTAAATGGCTTTATAGTGTGGAAGTCATTATCTTTTCAGTTTTCAGTGGGCCAGTGCTATCTGTGTCCCACTCATAAGATTTTCAAATGTACCTTAAGGCTGACTATAGTAAAATCTAACAACCTACCGTAAAGCAGCTCATTTTAGATGACTAGATGAGCTACATACTTTGTAGTTTGGCAGTTTAAAACAAGGTGCAGGTGTGGTAGTTTAGTTCCCTGAGAGCAGCAGCCTGGAATAAGCCACTGTGTGTCAAGGAGATTCTTGCACGTTTCACCAATCACTGCTTTCAGATTTATTAATAAACTTTTTAAAATGCAGCTGTCACTTATGATGCACTGCTATGCTCTGAATATGTGTCCCTCCAAAATTCATATGTTGGAATCTAACCCCCAAGGTAAAGTTATTAGGAGTTAGGGCCTTTGAGAGGTGATTGGTCATGAGGTAGAGCCCTTATAAATGGGCTCAGTGCCTCTATAAAAGAGGTTCCCTAGAGCTTGCTTGTCTCTTCCAACATATGATGATACAACAAGAAGTCTGCAACCTGGAAGAGGGTTGGACTTCAGCCTCCAGAACTGTGAGAAATAAATTTCTGTTGTTTATAAGCTACCCAGTCTGTGTATTTGTTATAGCAGCCCAAATGGACTAAAACACAAATCTAATTCACAAGAACTTGTGAATATTTTATGCTGGGTAGGAAAGGCATAGTTTTGGACCATATGACATCATAAAGGAGGACAAGCCTGCAGAAGGGCTTCAGAAGAGATGAACACAATCTGAACACAGCTGACAAAGAGGCAACTGGAGCTTGGTTTCTCCACCTTGGCACTGTTGACATCTAGGGCTGGATAATTCATTGTGGGGGCTGTCCTGTGCATTGTAGAGTGATTAGCAGTAGCATCCCTAGCCTCTACCCACTCTATGCCAGTACTGGCCTACCTCCCAGTTATAATAGTAAAAATACTTCTAGACATTGGCCAATGTCCCCTGGGCTGCAAAATCACCCTCAGTTGAGAACCATTGAAATAGAGAATTCACAATTCCTGGGGAAAACTTTGCACTGTCTATATGTTGTTGAGGCCCCTGATGGCAATGACACCACCTATGAGCTGCTCAGAAGCATTTATCAAATGCTGTCAGGAGGTTGACTCAGTGGATCCCAATCTTCCTTTCTTAAGATCTAGTCTATTCCCTGAACTGTAGTGTTTTTCAAGATACTCAGGAGATTATGAAATCAATCTAGTGGGCACTAACCAGCATTTTCTTTAAAAAATGAAATAATGGCCCAGGTGGTATGGCTCAGTGGTTGAGTGTCTACCTATGAACCGGGAGGTCACAATTTGATTTCTGGTGAGGGTACATGCCAGATTGCAGGCTTGATCCCCAGTAGGGGGCATGCAGGAGGCAGCTGATCAGTGATTCTTTCTCACCATTGATGTTTCTATCTCTCTCTACCTCTCCCTTTCTCTCTTTCTGAAATCAGTAAAAAAAAAAAAGAAAAAGAAAAAAGAATTAATGGAGTAGAATAAAACAGTACAGAAAATATTAGAGTATACTTTGTAGAGTAAATATAGACTTGCAAAACTTTTGATTGTTTGGGTGTATACAATTGTGGATGCTTGTTCATCTTAGATATTGATATAAAATGTATTACTTACCAGAGTTGGCCATTAAAAGAGCTTGAGAATTCCTACTGTATTTTAACATATCCTCTGGATATACACTTTTCTCCTAATGTGCAATGTATTAGTTTCTCATTGCTGTTGTAACAAATTACCACAAATTTAGTGGCTTTAACCTTAAAACATGCAAGTTTATTCTCTTACAGTTCTGGAGGTGAGAAATCCAAAATCATTTTACTGCACAAAAGTCAAAGTGTTGACAGGACAAGGACCTCAGTCCTATAGCTTCAAGGAACTGAATTCTGCCAACAACCAGTGAGCTTAGAAGAGCATTGTAAATCGCAGATGAGATAGCAGCCCAGGCTGACATGTTGACTGCAGCCTTGTGAGATCCTGAACAGAGTACTCAGCCAAGCTGTGCCTGGATTCCAGACCCATGGAAACTGTGAGTTAATAAATAGGTGTTGTTTTAAGTCCCTAAGATTGTGGTAATTTGTTATGCCACAATAGAAAACTAATACAGGCATTCAAGGGAATGACTAGAGCAAAAATCCAAACTATGCTGATTTAGTATATTGATATTAAGTTATTTTATGCAATAACATGGAATAATCTCAAATGCATTTTTGCTAAGTGAAATAAGCTAGAGCCAAAAGGCTGCTTACTATAAGATTCTATTTATACAACATTTTGGAGAAGGCCAAACTATAGCAATGAAGAATAGGTCAGTGGATAACAAAAACTGGAGATAGCGGGAGAGGTTGATGACAAAGGGCAAGAGGAGGGAATTGATGGGAGGGAATTGATTCATAACAGTAGCAAAATTACAGTTATGAAGTAGCAACGAAAATAATTTTATGGTTGGGGGTCACCACAACATGAGGAACTGTATTAAAGGGTCTCGGCATTAGGAAGGTTGAGAACCACTGGTCTAGAAGAAGCAAAAAGGAAAGAAGTGCCATACCCTAGAGCAGTGATGGCGGACCTTTTGAGCTCGGCGTGTCAGCATTTTGAAAAACCCTAACTTAACTCTGGTGCCGTGTCACATATAGAAATTTTTTGATATTTGCAACCATAGTAAAACAAAGACTTATATTTTTGATATTTATTTTATATATTTAAATGCCATTTAACAAAGAAAAATCAACCAAAAAAATGAGTTTGCGTGTCACCTCTGACACGCGTGTCATAGGTTCGCCATCACTGCCCTAGAGGCAATGAGCACACTCAGCACCCAGATCGTGGATTCTAAATGCCATTCTTCAGTAAAGGGAAACAGGGCTCTCTCATTCTAGGGTGGGGCATCTTAAGGTGCCAGAAAGTAAGGGAGCGCTCACAAAACAAGACAATGGGTACATATCAAAAGGACCCAAGAGCCAACTGAAAGAACTCTCAATGGCCATAGTTTAAAACAATTTGAGAGACAAAATAAATAACATAGTATTGGATTATAATCCAAAGTATAAAGTAAATATCTCTGAGTCCATACTGACAAAAGTAAATGAGTAGGTAAATAATAAATAATCGACAAATCTGTACAAAAGAATTTCAAACAATTTATGTAGGTTCTATACTCTCAACTTGATAGGGCATAACTCTCTATCCCTTAAGTATGGACTTTGCATAACAATATCCACGCAAACAGTACCATATAGAAAGAGGAACAAGAGTGGAGAAATCTGACAAACACTGCTTCACCCTACGGTTAAGGTTAACCTTGTCAGGGATGAGTAATGTTGATAGCATGTACCCTGGTATGCTGTGGTAAGAATGGCCCTTTACCTTTGCAATCTTTCTTCCAAGAACTCTAACCCCAATCATGAGAAAAAATGAGAAAAACCCAAACTGAGGACCACTCTGCAAAGTTACCTGACCTGTCATCAAAATCAAGAAAATTCTGAGAAACTGTCAAAAATCTAGAGGAGCCTAAGGGGAAATGATGACAATTCAATGTGGTATCTTGTTGAGATCTGGGGACAGAAAAAGGACATCAGATAATAATTAAAATTCAACTAACGTATGGACTTTAGTTATTAACAATGTTTCATTTGTTTGGATAAATTTAGCACACTAATGTAAGATTAACAGTGGGGACAACTGGATAGTTGGTATAAGGGAACCCTTTGTGCTACTCTTGGAATTTTTCTGTAAATATAACACTACTAGAGGCCCAGTGCACAGATTCGTGCACTGGTGGAGTCCCTCAGCCTGGCCTGCGGGGATCGGGCTGAAACTGGCTCTCCAACATCCCCCAAGGGGTCCCAGATTGCAAAAGGGCATAGGCCAGACCAAGGGACCCCACTGGTATATGATTGGGGCCAGGGAGGGCTCCAGGGTGTGTCCGGCCTGTCTCGCTCATTCCAAACAGCTGAACACCAGCAGCAAACTAACCTACCCGTCGAAGAGTCTGCCCCCTTGTGGTCAGTGCACATCATAGCGACTTGTAGAATGGTCGAACAAATGGTTGGACACTTAGCATATTAGGCTTTTATTATATAGGATTCTAAAATTTATAAATATTTAAAAGAACATTTTTAAAATCTGAAAGCATGTATTGTATGATTTTCTTCGCTCCTTTCCTCCCTCCCTTCCTCCCTCCCTCCCTTCCTTCCTTCCTTCCTTCCTTCCTTCCTTCCTTCCTTCCTTCTTTCCACCCACCCATACATCCATCTGTTCTTCCATCAATTCTCTCTATATATACATAAAGAGATGCCTGTAATGCTGTCCACCACATTTTAAGGACTCCTGTATATGACTCTTGGAATTTGTGGTAATTTTCTCAACTGCTTGAATTATTTTGAATAATTATGTTCTTTCTATTAAAGTATTAAAGACACTATGTTTTCTACATGAAGATGGAGAAAAAGTGCTAACTATCAAGATCTTTTTATCTTGATAATATTCTAGTTACGATAGGAACCAACATACTGTTTCATTTTGTAGGGATTTGTGGGATAAAATTTGGTCCAAAAGAGGGTTTACTAAATTACCATAATCCATCAGTATATTTATATACAATTAACTATATTAATTGTATACAAAACAGACAAATAAAAAAGATGTTCTCATTCCCCCCCCCCTCCTCCGTGGGAACTCCGAGAGAGAGAGAGAGAGAGAGAGAGAGAGAGAGAGAGAGAGAGAAAAGGACCTTGATTGTGTGATTTTGCTGTTAAGATATATAAGATATTTTACAGTTAGCCACTGCAGGAAGGAGGAATGCTCAAGTGTTCTCACCTCGGCTCCGGAGAGCTCAGTTCATTTGTAGCCAAGAAGTAAAGCATGTCTAAGAGCAAACAATGGATTTAAGCCATAGTAGAGCTCTGCCTAATGTGAGAGGTGGGTCTGGCTCAATACAAATAATTGTTATTTCAGATGAATGTAATTGCAATAAGGCGTTAGTTATGAATAAAAGAAAAGAAGACAAAACATAAGAAGAATCATTCTATTCTTTTTTCTCCCTATCCCTCAAAGCAGAAAAGATGGCCTAATCTCTCAATTTCTAATTTAATGTTAGTTGGAAGTCGGTCCTAAAACCTTATAATTTTTAAAAATTTATCTTTATTGTTGAAAATATTACACATGCCTTCTTCCCCTCCCCATTGCCCCCCTTTACCCTGGCCCCTAAAACCTTATAATTTTAAAAAAATCTTTATTGTTGAAAACCTTATAATTTTAACATTGGAAGAAATATCTAAAATCACTGAGTCCACTTCCCTCTTGTTATAGATGAAGAACAGAGAATCTGTGTGCTCATTTGTGTGTGTGTGTGTGTGTGTATGTGTGTGTGTGTTTTAATTTTTTTTTTTTCAGAGAGGAAGGGAGAGGGAGAGATAGAAACATTGATGATGAGAGAGAATCATTGATCAGCTGCCTCCTGCATGCCCCCTACGGGGGATCAAGCCCATAACCCAGGCATGTGCCCTGATAGGGAATTGAACTGTGACCTCCTGGTTCATAGGTCAACACACAACCACTGAGCCACACAGGTTGGGCCTGTGTGCTCAGTTATAAGAAAACCTGATAAACCCAATTCTGCTTACAAAACAGATATATCAGGAGGTGGGTATTAAATTTACAAATGACCCAATGTAGTATTCCATTAAATGTGCTCCCCATATGTTTTAAAAGTATGATTCAACTTATAAAAATGGAAGTCACACACAACCTTTAGGAACTTATCTAAATTTAGCAAATGCATATTCCTGGAATGCCTTCCATGTGCAAGTAGAAATGGCCCCCAACTCTGCTGTGAAGTAATATGTGACCTTAGAGAAAACTTCATTTATCTTGGAAACTGACATTCCTCTTTAAACATACAAAACAGGTTGCAACAGTTTTCAGAAATGATCAGAGTCCAGTGACAAGCAACAAAACCCGTGGTCTGAGTCTCACTCCCATTTCCTGGTGTCTTCATCTTCCTCCCCATTTGTCTTCCCATCATTGCTGTTCTGTGTACCAAGCCAAGAGCCCAGAAATATCTGACTAAAACAAGTCAAGTGTTCACATATGTTGATTTCCAAAAAAGCCAACCAAAACAGAAATGAACTAAAAAGGACAAAATATTAAAAATTCTTCTAAATCATTTACTTTTCAGTGGGCCTCCATTTTGGATTTCTAGTATATGGTGAGTATGTAATATTAATGCTTTAATTCATCCAGATTACTGGGTTGTAGTTTTCAGGAAATCATACATGTTTGTCTTATTAGAGGAGTATGTTAAAATTTTACTAGCAAGGGGAATGTTAAAGCCTAAGTATCATCAACACACTGTTCTAAGGCTCCACCCTGAGAAGGTATTTGGCTGTAGACAATTACAGGCTGTCAGAGTTCTTAGAGAATTTGTAAGGCCTACAGACCAACTCTAGGAATAGGAATAAAATGAAAAGGAAACATAATTTAATCCTTTATTTATATCAGAAAAGCAGTTGTGTGCAAGTCAAGGTGATTATTTGTAAAGGTTAGTCATTGGGGCAGAAATGATAAAAGTAAAACTTTACTTATACCACATCAGTGTTACCCCTGAGCAATTATGGCAACAAAAAGATCCAGACAAAGCCAACAGGAGATGCGTGGAGAGTAAATTCAAATGTATGTGAAACACCTGGATCCATTTCTAAGTAATTGATGTTTAAAATTTGTTTCTAGTTCTTTCTGAAGCTCCTGTCTTCCAGGCTCACAGAATCTGCAGTGGCAGCATTTATCTTTTTGAGTGTGTCCAAGTTTAAGGTTTGAAGTAATTATGAAGAACATCTGACTAGGAGAAAAACAAAAGCCAATAAGAAAACTTGTGAAAAGGGGAGAAAAGTCAAGGTGAATTTAGGTTTCTCAAAAGGCTGTGTTTCTGACTAGAGGAAATAAAACATTCGCCAATTGGCTTCATGGGATCCCAGGCTGGGCACAGAGACAGAGGGAACAGATGTTGGAGCTTCTTCCTGAATTGTGTGGCCAGATTATATCCCTTAGGATTCCCAGATGTAATTCTCTGAGAGATCAGAATATGTCCATGTCCTCTCAGTTTTATGAACATTCTCATGCACAGTTAATAATGCTAAGGCTGTGCTCTCTCCTAGTGTAAATGTGGCTAAAAATTGCACCATGTTCCTGGCAGGACCTGTGTCCCAATATGTCCTGTGGCAAATTCCACCACTTCTGGGAAGACCTGCTCCTGTTTATGTTTCAGCCTTGCTCATTCCCTCCCTCTTCCTGTCAGTCAGACCTGCTTTCCTTACCATGCAGAGAACCCTCCCTTGGCTTCTATTGGAAAGGGTCAGGGCACAGCTAACATTTATGGGTCTGGCCCACATCCACATGCTCTAAGGAAACTAGAAATCTTGACAGGCTTGAGGGAAGTTAATGAAACACAAACTAACCACCCTAACATTTCACAACCAAGAAAGGGACTCACAGAAACCAAATGTAAAATGAATTAAAATGTCAAGATTGGGACTTAAAAAAATTGCCAGAGAACATTGACATCATATGTGGAAAGCATAGGGATCTGTTCAAATTGTTTAGAAAGAGCCCACAATCTGAGAGAGATGCTCACATCCAAATGTTTCGAGCAACTTGCACACTGGAACAGGGAGAAGAGGAGCAAGGAGATGTGAATTGCCAGCCCGAGCATTTCATAGCCATTCAGCTCACAGAAGAGCTTCTGGACTGATAGGAATCTTTAAGTCAAGTTTAGCTGGTTCTTTTAAAATATATATATATTTTTTATTGATTTCAGAGGGGAAGGGAGAGGGAAAAATAGAAACATCGATAATGAGAGAACCATCAATTCGCTGCCTCCTGCATGCCCCCCACTGGGGATCAAGCCCAAAAACCAGACATGTGCCCTGACTGGGAATCGAACCATGACCTCCTGGTTAATAGGCCAACACTCAACCACTGAGCCACACTGGCCGGGCTAAGCTGGTTCTTAAAATAACAACTTATATGAGGAGTATTGCACTTAATTGAGTTTCAGTTGCTTATATAAGCTCTTTTAAGTGACCTAATCTTTTTAAGTAGACTATAAATTGCAGAAGATCAGAGACTGAGCCTTAAGACTCCTGTTTCCTCAGTCAGTGCCAAGGCCACTTAAGCAACAAGTAGTAGATGTAAAATACAGTTAGTCATGAAACTAAAAGAGCCCTAAATAAAAATATTCTTCTTCAACCCCTAATTGAAGTAGGTACATTATTTAGCTCTCCAGAAAAGAGTTCTCTCTCCCCTTCTTATACCTTTCTGGAAATAAGAGGGCATTTTCAGTCAGGGATTTTAGCAATCCTTTAGACCAGTGTGGCTCTTTGGCCCCTTGAGTGTGGCTCTTCCACAAAATACCACGTGCGGGTGCGCATGTACAGTGCAAAGTTGACTTAAAACTTTAAGTAAAGTTTATTAAGTTAATTTTAGGGAACATTGTGGAGTGAAAGAAGATGTAGTGTTGAGGATTGAGAAAGGTATGTTGAGATGGTTTGGACATATAGAGAGGATGAACGAAAGGAGATAGACGAAACAAGTATGCAAGACGAGTGTGGATGGGAGAGTTGGACCTCAGCGAAAGTACCTCAATCAGATTGAGGACGTTTTTAGCAAAGGCCAGCTTAGGAGTACCCTAATTAAGTAAATAACAATGTACCTACCTATATAGTTTAAGTTTAAAAAATTTGGTTCTCAGAAGAAATTTCAATCGTTGTACTGTTGATATTTGGCTCTGTTGGCTAATGAGTTTGCCGACCACTGGTTTAAGGCTTCCATAACTTTAGGCTGCCCTGGTAAGTCCTGCCCTTTGTCTCTTAAGTTCCAGCTCATCCCTATAGGGCTTATCACTTTTTGCCTGAGGGTAGCATCAGGTTCTAACTAATCCTTATGGTACCTGGAGGTGTTCTGGGAGTGTAACAACCTTGGGCTCTAAAAGACAATCCTGCTCTTTCTCACAATGAGACTCTAGCGGCCCTATTCTAAGGGTAGCTACCCAAACACTTCTGCCTTCAGATGGAATAGCTTTCACTATCCTAAAGAGGGAGAAAATATACACTTAATCTCTAGCAGGTGATTCAGCTACATTATTGTACATTTATGTGCAACTCAACTGCTGAACTATGAGTGACACTCGAAAATAAACCCCTTTGCCAAGAGGCTCCATTTGGTCCATCACATTGGTCTGTGAATAATCTATTTGGACTTGTAAGCCACACTGCTTGATGTAATAGACTTCAGTTTTCATTTGGCCCAGTTCCACCATGGCCCTAAGGAATTCTTCATAAAGGAACATCTGAAAGTGCTCTTGTAGGTGTGTCGGAGGCCGGACGTTTGACTGAACAATGGCAGCAGTGTTTCTATATTGAACTCCAGATATCAGATGAAGGTTCAAGATGTAGAAATGTTTTGTGCTCTCTCTGTTTTTGAGTTCTCCATCTTAAAAGAAGAAATACAAGAACACTTAATAGTTCCAGCATTCTGAGTTGCGGGGGTGGGGAATGACTTAAGTACTTCCCTGAATTTTCCATTTTTTGGTCATAGTAAAAGGCAAGGGATTAGGACAGATTTGTGTGTGTCTAATTACAAGAGGAAATGGGGAAGGGACAAGATCAGAATCTAGATTTTTTTCCCCTTTATGTGTGGGGGTGGTGGGGGGAAAGGGGGTTGGTTGGGAGTTTCTTTCTGCACAGCAACAATCTTCAGGTCCTGGGCAACCCACCCACCCATTTGCTCATAACTGGCCGTTTTGCTGAGTGGGAAATTTTGATCTCGAGACATTTAGCCCTAGCCTAAGAAACAAACCAGCTTAGCCTGGGTTCTTCAAAGAACAGAGTTTCAGGCAGAAGTTTATGTGCTATAGCTTTATTAGAGAATGCAATCCCAGGGAAAGAGTTGGGGAAGGACTGAGATGGAAAGGTAGGAGAGCCAACATGACAATGTATTACCCACTCCACAGCTGGTGCCAAACTAATTGCTCAATCTTACAGCACTGTTTTTTAAGAGAAAGGCAAATTTCTTATTTTGCCTCCTATTGGTCAATGGGACAATAACTGCCCACTCCCTTAACCCTCACATTCTGATTGTACAGGTGTTGACACTGAGTGTCATCATGCCCCATCCACATTAAGGAAGTTGAGAATTGAGTTGAAAGAGGCAAGGCCTCTCAGGTTGTTGGGGTACTCCAAGGAGCTGGTCATAGTAGTGGAGGCTGGAAGGGACTGCAGACTCCAGTGTCTTCCCCGACCCAAGATTGAGAGCAGGATTTGACCTCACACTCTAGGTGGCTCCAGCTTCTTCACTCCTTGCCCATTCACATCTTTTTATCTTCTCATCTCTTTTCCCTCCTCCCTGGTTTGGACTAACCCATCAGTATGGTCGGCCCTGATATGTACCATGAAGAGCCCTCTTCAAGGAAAGATTTGCTGACCAGCAGTAGGAAATGCAACCAGTAGACAGCCTCCAGCTGTCAGCTTCTTCAGGAGCTGCCTCAGCTGCAGAGTCTCTGCCTGAAGTCATGCCCATCTTGGGGCAGTCTGGATCTGGTGACTGAACATGGGCTGGTCATTTTTTTTCAGGGATATAAAGTCCCAGGCAGTTATTTTGGGACAATGCCAAAGGACATTTTTCACTCCAGAGCTCCCACTAGGCTGGCCTATGTTGCAGTTTGACTTTTCCCTCTGCCAATCCTGCTCCCCCCACTTTCTGTCACGGGTGTTGATTTTAATAAACATCTTGTGCCCAAAACTTCATCTCAGCATCTACTTCTGGTGAACCCACCCTGTCACAATTAGCTTACAATATTTCATGCCCAGAATGTGTCAAATTTGTATAATGAATTGAAAAGTTAGGCCATTCAAGAATCTACAACTTGGCTTCTACATCCCACCCCTGAGCCCCACTGGCCTCAAGGGAACTAGTCCTGAATCTCTTCCAGGAGCAGGGATGTCAGTGACAGCAGTACATTTCTGATTCACATTTGTAACACCGTGTGAAGATTGTGGGGCCAGAGAACCCCTTGACAGAAACTTCTGCTACTAAGTGCACAACGCAGTGTCTTTGAAGCATTACCATACATGTGATGTCATATATATTCAAAGATTAAGTCTATCCAAAGGCCAGGACATATAGGTACATTTATTTCAGTATTTAGTGGTTGTAGAATACTTGAGCCCTCAATTTTCCACTCTAGGTTATTTACCACTGTCCTGGCTTCCATATTTATTAGACCAAATGAGAGGCAGAGAGCCCCATATCCTTCTTTTTTGCCCCCTCTCTGCTCTTTCAGGGTGGCTCCATTTAGCATTATAGCAGTACAGGTTGAGGTGTTAGGCAGTAGTAGAACATTGCCCTGATGATCCATTATTTTGTTTGCTAACATTAAACACTGTGGGGTGGCATCATAGGGGGCATACCTTGTGTAGCATTACAGCCTACTTCCTTCTATGAATGAAACCCACACAAAACATGTAGGGCATGATTATGTGCTCTTGTACCCATACACTCCCACACACCCTCCTTAGAAGGGTCATCCTCCCTTCCATCAAGTTGTACTTGAACCCTCTTTGTCAGTCTTCTCTCCCAATAAAAATAATATATCTTTCTTTAAAGAAAAATGGAAAAGGTAATTGAGAATTGAGCATCTGTTGAAACCATCTCTTCTCAATTTCCATGTTACTTGATTTAGAAATAGTGTAAATAATGCAGAAACACTGATAGGAAGCTCTTTGTTCCATATTATAGCTCAGGCCTAATGTGATGTATGCATTTCCAATATCGAAAATTCCTTACAGGTCCTGCCCTAACTGTTGTGGTTTTTTTTTTCAGTTTTTATTTCAAGAAAAACGATTTTAAATATAATAATGTTGCATGCAATAAACCTTAATATTTCAAGAAAAATGATCTTAAATATAATAATATATGCAATAAACATTAATATCTCAAGAAAAACAATTTTAAATATGATAATGTTACATGCAATAAACACCAATTATTCAGGAAAAATGATCTTACATATAATAATATTATGTGCAATAAACATTAATATTTCAAGAATAAAGAATTTTAAGTATAATAATATTACCAAAACTCTACTAACAGATGATATCACAAAAGTTGTAGGAAATATTAAAAGTCTTCAAATAACAGGATTACTCCTAATATATTCTAGATTTCCCCCCCCCCGCCCCCCTGCCCCCTGGCTCTCTTTTGTTCATCAGTTTATGTTGTTCATTATAGTCCACAAATGAGTGAGATCATATGATGTTTATCTTTCTCCGACTGGCTTATTTCACTTAGCATGATGCTTTTAAAGTTTATTTTGTTGGATATGAGTATCGCTACTCCAGCTTTTTTTTCTCCGACTGGCTTATGGAAATTTTTTTCCATCCCTTCACTTTCATCCTGTATGTCAGCGGTTCTCAACCTGTGGGTCGCGACCCCTTTGGGGGTCGAACGACCCTTTCACAGGGATCACCTAAGACCATCAGAAAACACATATATAATTACATATTGTTTTTGTGATTAATCACTATGCTTTAATTATGTTCAATTTGTAACAATGAAAATACATCCTGCATATCAGATATTTACATTATGATTCATAACAGTAGCAAAATTACAGTTATGAAGTAGCAACGAAAATAATTTTATGGTTAGGGGTCACCACAACATGAGGAACTGTATTAAAGGGTCACGGCATTAGGAAGGTTGAGAACCACTGCTGTATGTGTCTTTCGTTTTAAGGTGGGTCTCTTGTAGACAGCATATAGTTAGATCATGTTTTTGTATCCATTCAGCTACTCTGCACCTTTTGATTGGAGCATTTGATCCATTTACATTTAGGGTTATTATTGAGAGGTACTTATTTATAGCCATTTTAATTCTGTATGGCTAGGTTTCTCTGTTTCTTCTTCTCAGCAATCCCTTACAGCAATCCCTTTAGCATTTCTTGTACTGCTGGCTTGGTGGTGATGAACTCCTTTAGCCTTTTTTTTGGTCTGGGAAGCTCTTTATTTGACATCAAAATAGAATGATAGCCTTGCTGGATATAGTTATCTTGGTCTCAGATCCTTGCTTTCCATTACCTTGAGCACTTTATGCCATTCCCTTCTGGCCTGTAGAGTTTCTGATGAGAAATCAGGCATCAGCCTTATGGGTACTCCTTTATAGGTAACAGTTTTGTTTTCTCTTGCTGCCTTTAATATTCTCTTTAATTTTTGGCATTTTAATTATGATGTGTCTGGGCATGGGTCTGTTTCAGTTCTTCATGTTTGGAGTTCTCTGTGCCTCCTGAACTTGTGTGACTTTTTCCTTTACCACGTTAGGGACGTTTTCTACCATTATTTCTTCAAACACCTTCTCTATACCTTTCTCCCTTTCTGCTTCTTCTGGCACACCTACTATTCTAATATTGTTACACTTCACATTTTCCCACAGCTCCCTTAAGCTGTCCTCCTGTTTTTTAATTGTTTTTTCTTTTTGGTTTTCTAATTGAGTAATATTTTCAACTCTGTCTTCTCATTCAATGATTTGATCCTCAGCTTCCCCTAATTTGCTGTGTATTCCTTCCTATGTGTTCTTTATTTGTGTTATATCATTCTTTATCTCAGACTGTTCTTTTTTCTTAGTTATTATGTCTCTTTTCATACTGTTGAGCATTTTTAACATCATTACTCTGAACTCTGTTTCAGATAAATTTTTTATCTCTTCATTTATCTTTTCTTCTGGAGAATTTGCTAGTTCTTTCATTTGGGGGTTGTTTCTTTGTTTCCTCATTTGGGTTGTCTGTTTGGGTTTGTGACTATGTATTAGGTAGATCCTCTACACCTCTCAATCTCTAGTGCAGGACAGTGTTAATGGCTGTTTCTAATTGGATCAGGCAAAGACTCAAAGCCTTCAGAGACCACCTCTGTCTACAGACTAATAGGATTCTGACTTGAATTGCCCCCAGGCAATCATCCTCAGGTGTGATGAGAGTTTTTTTCAACAGGTGGGGCAGTTGCTTCTGCCTGGAGGCTAATTGTTACTTTTAATCTCTTAAGTGGCCTCAGGGCCAGGTGTTTTCCAATAGGGTGTGTTTACTGTCTTCCCCCCAGGCAAGGCAGATGTCTATATGGGAAAGAAGTCCTCTGATGTGTGAGGGAATGACTCATCCCAGGAAACTTGGGGTGTCTGCCTTCTGAGTTCTATCCCCTGAGTCCCCGGTCCTGGGTTCTACTCTCACAGCTCCAGTCCACTTCACCCTCCCTCTGCCAGAGCACAAGGTGGATGGCTCCACAGGAAATTTTTGTGCATTGGCCCTTTAAGAGGGTTCCTGAACTTTCAGCTGCCACTCCCTAGAAGACAGCACCCCACTGCTTTTCACAGCTAGATGTTATGTGGGTAACCTCCTCAGTTTGGTGCTCTCTGCTGGGGAGCACAGCTTTGGGGTTAGATCCCAGAGTTCTCAGTGGCACCCCCCATAGCTGAGATATCTCTCAGGGACTTCAGTTGCCATCTGTGGGTGCCTAGCCAGCCCTTTCATGCCTCCCCCCCTCCTACCATTCACTATGTGCTCCCCCCCCCCCCACAACTATTGATTCACTTTTTAAAGTTGGAAATTATTGGGAAATTGTCAACTTAACTCAGAGGATTAACAAAAAACCTGGCCACAGAGACGCAAAGGAAGTCAAAGTATAGGCACAGATAAGTCAGGTGTTTATGGTAGAAACAATTGGGCTCACCAACTGTCCATGTACTTCTCTACATTTCCTAGTCTTACTTGTAGTCAGGTTAGGTCATATGACAAATTATGCCCAATAGATGAGCAGAAGGTATATATGGCACTTCTGGATTGAGGTAGTTAAGAGCTGATAGGTTTCCACCATAATATCTTTCTATTGTCCCAGTGAACTTGAAGACCACAACTTCCAAGTGGTGAAGCAACGAAATGGATAAACACCTCTCATGCCACAATAGGCATCTTTTCTCTTCCTTGGTTTCTAGATTCTCCTTGGGCTTTCTGGAGTCCCTACTCTCCAGCCCTCATTCCTTACGTTCCATCTTTCCTTGGTAAAGAGGCTAGCAGTAGCAGTTGACAGATATATGTGTGAATAATCTGAGACTCAGAAACAAACCAACCAATGTAGAATTTGTCTATGAGACAATAAGTTCATGTTCTCTTATGTTGCCTGCTTCTCTGTGAGGCCCATGATGTCACAGAGAATTCCCATAATGCCTTTTATATTGTTACTTCCACAACTAGTCCTTTAACTAAAAATCATGTTATTTTTTTCTCTAAGAGAATGCCCATTGAGTCAGATTTCATACAGTACAAAGTCTTTGTTCTCCATTATCTACAATTAATAATAGAAAATATTTGTTTCAAAATTTTTAAGAATAATTTTTCTCTTCTTTTTTCAAGCTAGCTAAATTTTATTTTTTGATGTTTACTTACAACTGAGAAAATCCTTAGTCCTTTCTAAATCAAGATCAAAATCAACATATAATAAGGTGCTACATTATATAGGTCTCAGTTAATTTTAATCCACTGTTTATGAAAACTTAGCTTTCTATACTTTCTTAATTATATCCCAGACTGAGATTCTGCCATAGCCCAGTAGAAGTAGAGAACTTTTCCTATGACATTTGAACAAATAGGAGCCTCTAGGCCCAGCCACAGATGTTTAGTTTTATATAAAATATGGATCTAGTTCTGGCTCTGTTTTCAACCATGAATTCCCTCATGGCTCCTAGGGTGTTCTGGC